CTCTGTCTCAAAAAAAAAAAAAAAAAAAGAACTCCTGAGCTAAAGTGATCCACCCATCTCAAACTCCCAGCCTTAAGCACTCCTGTTTTGGCCTCCTAGAGTGCTAGGATTATAGGAATGAGCCACTGTACCTGGCCTAAACTATTCTTCTATTTCTAGTTCAGGTTGGTCTAGTGATAATAATCATGATGATTATAACTACTACTTACAGAGCACTAATTGAATTAGATAATAATTATATCATAATCCTCACGACAACTTTATGAGGTGAGTATATTATTATCCACATTATAAATCAGTGACACTGAGGCTAAAGAGATTAATTTGCCTGAGGCCCCACAAATTATATGTGACCGAGGTAAGATTAAAACCTATCTACTGCCTGTCTGCGGACTGGGCTCAGGTTCCTTCCCTAGTAATAGAGAAGAGAAAGACATTTGCCATTTGGAGAAAACCTAAAGGGGGCTCCTACATTGTTGAAAACTATGCCCTGGGCTCTGCTCCCCTTCACTTTCATATTAGGGATTTATGTTTTTTTCTTATTCTGACCTTTTTATAACTCACCTGCATAAAATGGCAACAGAAGTGATTTAAAAGAAAAAACACTCTGGAAAGCTTATTAGTGAGCCTTATGTGTTGGCACATTTATCTTTCATCAATCAGAATTTTAAAAAAATTAAAAGTCAGAATGAAAAGTAATATGGAAAACTTCAAGATTTAAAATGAATGCTGTGGCCAATTTTTCAAACTCACCTTTTATTTTTCTTGTAATTCTCCAGTTGCTGGGACTGCATATGTTTGCATCTTTCTAATTCACACTGCCCACATAAATCTTCCAGATGCAGCAGGTGGTTTTCTACTTCCTCAAAACTAGCCTCTAAATGACCTGAAAGTGTGTAAGATAAAAAGAAGAAAGAAACAACAAAAATCAGAACCCCTGATCATGAAGAAAAGAAAAAAGTATCAAAAAGGTAAAAGTTTAAATTGTTGCCATTGTTTTGCCTTTGTTTAATATACTCTATTAAACTTTCTTAAAACAAAATAAAATATGACTAACAAAATGTATTTCAAATTATCTTTTTGACTACATTTCAACCATTTGCAAGATACAACTTTCCTAAATACTCCATTAAGGAGAAAGAAAAAAAAGGAATATGTTGGTTAACTTAATATTATACCCTAATAATCCTATATACCACACGTGAATATTCAATTTTCACATGAGAATATAACAAAATGCAGTTAACACAAATTGTGCCTAACTTAATTTAATATTCATGCTTCCTAGTTAAGCATTTGTTTTGCCTCTGGCATATCATATACACAAATCCTCAGTAAGCGCAGTACCAGGATAGTCAATGGTTGGGTGGGGAAGAGACAGCTCTACCGACCAGGTGACAGTTTTTCGTTAGTCTACTTGCCTCTAGGCTACACCAGAGTTTTGCAGCTTTATTGGAACATGAAGATCATCTGCTAAAATTTTTCATTGAAAAGATTCAAGACAAAATCCTAGAGAAGCAAACTCAGTGCCTTGTTCAAGGTCACATAGCTAATGAAGGACAGTCAGGAATCTCAATTGAGCCCCTCTTACATTACAATGCTTCCTATTGGATAGGAAGTTAAAGTAAACCATGATTGTAGGGTTAAGGATTGGTTGTTTTCTCACATAACAGAAAAGCTTTAGGGGTCAAAGATTTGGGGACTTAAACAGCCTTATAACTATTTATCAAATGCCCACTGACATGTGCCAGCCACTGGGATACAAAGATGAGAAAGACAGTGCTTGAACTCAAGCAGCTTATAGTGGAAGGGAGGCATATTTCAGTGGCAGCACAACCTGACAGAGCTAAGTGCCAGGTGCAATGGGATCTCACAAACATGAGAGAGACTGAGAGAAGGTTCAACAAGCGCTAACGGCCAAGTTGGGAACTGACAGCAATGGGGGAAAGTGGCAGCAGAGCAGGAACAAGTGGGCCATGCAGCCTTCTAGTCTCAGGCTCCTTAAAATAACTACAATACAAGCCCTTCATTCATCTACTAGATTTTAATGTGACTTTCTAAACTAGCTTTCATAGCAGCAGGTTAGAAATAAACTCCTCAAATTTCAACTTGAAATGCTAGGCTTACTACAATGCAATTTTTTGTCTGTTTTTCGAGTCCAAACCAGAATGATTAGGCTAGAGAAAGAAAGAAAGGACATCCAAATTAGAAAGGAGGAAGTCACAATGTCCCTGTTGGCAAATGACATGGTCTTATATATAGAAAACCCTAAAAGCACCACCCAAAAACTTTTAGAGCTCAATAAATGATTCAGTGAAGTTTCAGTGTACAAAACCAACATAAAAATCAGTAGCATTTCTACACACCAACAATGAATCAGTGGGGAAAAAAGATCAAGAAAGCAATCCCATTTAAAATAGTTACAAAAATTTGAAAGACTTAAGAGTAAATTTAACCAAAGAAGTGAAAGATCTTTATAGAAAAAACACAAAATACTAAAAAAGGCCAGGTGCAGTGGCTCATGCCTATAATCCCAGCACTCTGGAGGGAGGCCCAGGCAGGTGGATTGCTTGAGCTCAGGAGTTCAAGACCAGCAAGAGCAAAGTGATAGTGAGACCTCCTATCTCTACTAAAAATAGAAAAACTCGCTGGGCATCGTGGTGGGCTCCTATTGGCCCAGTTTGAGGTTGCTGTGAGCGATGACACCACAGTACTCTACCCAGAGTGACAGAGTGAGACCTCATCTCAAAAAAAAAAAAAAAAGAGAGAGAGAAGAAAGAAAAAATTCTTTTTTTTTTTTTTTGAGACAGAGCCTCAAGCTGTCCCCCTGGGCAGAGTGCCATGGCATTACAGCTCACAGCAACCTCCAACTCCTGGGCTCAAGCGAGTCTCCTGCCTCCGCCTCCCAAGTAGCTGGGACCACAGGCGCCCGCCACAACGCCCGGCTATTTTTTGGTTGCAGCCATCATCGTTGTTTGGCGGGTCCGGGCTGGGGATTCGAACCCGCCACCTTAGGTGTACGTGGCTGGCGCCTTAGCCGGTTGAGCTATAGGCGCCGAGCCAGAAAAAATTCTGATAAAGAAATTGAAGAAGCAATTAAAAAATGAGTAAATGAGCTAACTAGACATTTCTAAAATAAAACATACAAATGGCCAACAGGTATGTGAAAAAACGCTCAACATCACCAATCATCAGGGAAACAGAAACCCAAATCACAATGAGATATCATCCCACCCTAGTCAGGATGGCTAGTATTAAAAAATAACAAATGTTAGTACTACTGGCCTTGAAGAAGCAAATTCAGCTTGTTCTGTTATAACCAGACTGACAGGGTCTTAAAATGTATAAATGACAATCATAACTAATAGGATTATTTAAAAGAGGATTCACTTTAATTAGTGATAAGAACTAGAATAATTTAATATGAAATCCATTTATCTCTAAGCTATTTGGTTCCTTCCATACATTTCATGTATCCTTAGCATATAGAGGACTGGGTCAGAGTTGGACTTTGAAGCACATTCTTAGAAACTCAGCTCTGCACCTTACAGATGAGATGAGATGCAATGAGATGCCTCATCTGTGAAAAGAGGCTAACAACATACATCTTGCAATGCTGTCAAAAGGATTAAATGAGTCAGAGTTGCTAAACTTAGCACTTGACAATTATCAAATAACTAATGACTGAACATAAAAAGTACACAGGAAAAAACTTCTATAGATAAATTTTGTAAAAGGCATTTAAAATAAATAATTTTGTTAATCACTAACAATCATGCTGTAAACAAGATCTATGCCTCTAATAGATTAAAATATCAATAACATTTTCATTTTTCCTGACAAACTTACATACCTATAAATTATACTCCAGGCTCTAGTCTGAAGATTCCCCATAGGTGAGGGGAATTAAATTTCAAAGGATTTCCCTAAAAACAAAATATGAAAATATGTAATAGAGTCAACAATTATTCTGTGTTAGAAAATGTGGTATGCTCCTTTTTGATCTTTATTTGAATGGACGGCAATTTCCATTTAGAAGCTAGCTCTCTTGGTTGACTACAGAGCTAATGAGGCTAGGGATTTCTCATGAATAGAGATTCTATTCTAGGTTCAAGTTGTACTTGCTGCCTGAGCCATTCTTCTGTTAATAACATAGGGACCAGGTGAAAACATGAAAGTGGTATAGTACCAGCCTGCAACTCCTAATGAGAAAGAAACAAACCCTACATCCTTTTGAATCATACCTTCTGGTGAATGCTGGACACAGATTAAAAATGCTTCAGATAGTCAGCATTTTATTGCTGCTTCCAAATTCATATTTATATTCTCCCTTAAACTTCAAAGTCTCCTGAGTCCTTTCAGAATCAAGTTAAACTCCTTAATTAGTATTCACAGACCTACTGCTTGTTCTCTGGCCACAGTGTACTTTCACAATCTCACTACTACTTCCTTCAGATATCCTGTGTTACAGCAACACAGGACCAAGTGCCATCCAAAGAGGAGTCCTGCACTTTGCCTGTCCCTGAAATTCCTTGTTCCCACTGCCTGACCCAATCTTTCTTTCCAGGCTCATGCCTGTGCTCCCATCCCACAGGGCTCCCCTCTCCTTCTGTGTTTCCCCAGACCTTTGAGCTCCACATAGGATTTATCTGACCGATAGCATACAACTATCTGTGTATTCTTATCTCTCTCAGGGATCAGTAACGTCTTACAGGTGAAGAGTGTATTTTTACATCTTTGTATCCCCTAATACTTCGACTAGTAAATTCAATAAAGAATAATTTCTAGGGATAGAATGATTGCATTCCTCTAAAACATAAAATGATCAAGAAAGAAAATCTATCATTCCTGTTCATCTACTTTAAATATTAAGAGATCGTGCTAAATCGTAGAAGAATAAACATGGGCACAGAACTGAGTAAACATTAAGCAGTATGTTAAACTAGGCCATGTATCAGTGGCCTAGAGTTAAAGCAGAAGCAGCAAAGGAAATTTTCTATGCTAACTCTTAACAGGCTTGAAAGTGGTTAATAAAATATAAAAGAATTGTATTAGAATATAAGAATTGTATTCTTCCCTTCTCATATTAAAAACTTATATAAAATATAAGAATTGTATTCTTCCCCTCGTATTAAAAACTTAAAAACTCTCAAATAATTATAAGCACATATACATATATGATGTACATTCTACATATTTTATATTTAAGTTGTCAGAAAATGTAATTCCCCGCTCATTTCCTGTTATAAAACAAGTCGCACATGAGTGAATGTAGTAACCGACTTAGAATGCATGTACGTAAAACGCTAGCAGACCTCTATGGAAACAAATATACCTTTACAAGAAGCTCAAGCCTCACCATTTTGCTCACTATAACAAAAGCATATGTCTCATTTAGTGATCAGTGAAAAAAAAATAGGTGGAATTCTATCATGAAAAGCCATTTGGGAATGCTTGACAGCTGTGCAGGAAAGAGTTTCACAAACCTTTGTGAGAAGGTTGTCCCAGAGGAAGGGCAATTGTGTTTGAAATTTTTCTTTGTGCCATTTGTTTCAAATACATATTATCTGTAGTGTAACCACTGATATCTGAAGGATGAGGCAGCAGTAAAATTAATTATTTCACACTTAATGAGTTCCTTTCTAACAAAATAATTAGCCTCACGAAACAAAGAAATCCTTTGGCTGCAAACCCATGGGTCACAGGAATCAGGTGATAAAAGACCACAAGACTCTTCAAGTACTTAGGTTACACTTTTATGTACTAAGGTAATGATGGTATGGTAATAAGGAAACTTTAAGAGGTACATTTCCTTGCAAAAGCCATTGTGTAACAAATGAGATCTATGTCATAGTCTAAAAGGTATCTAACAAGAGTTAATATGCC